TGCTGTTGTTTTTGTTGCCGTTGTTTTCGTTGCTGTTGTTCTTGTTGCTGTTGTTTTCGTTGTTGTTGTTCTTGTTGCTGTTGTTTTCGTTGCTGTTGTTTATGTTGCTGTTGTTTTTGTTGCTGTTGTTTTTGTTGCTGTTGTTTTTGTTGCTGTTGTTTTCGTTGCTGTTGTTCTTGTTGCTGTTGTTTTCGTTGCTGTTGTTCATGGTGCTGTTGTTCTTGTTGTTGTTGTTTTCGTTGTTGTTGTTCTTGCTGCTGTTGTTCTTGTTGTTGTTGTTTTCGCTGCTGTTGTTTTTGTTGCCGTTAATTTCGTTGTTGTTGTTGTTTTCGTTGATTTCTTGATAGCGTTGTCTTCGTTGCTGTTGTTTTTGTTGCTGTTACTCGTATTTTTGCTGTTGTTTTCGTTGATTTTTTAATGTCTTTTCTTCGTTGCTGTAGATTTTTCAGAATTGTGTTAAATTCTCATCGTATAAATGTTAAACGTTGAATGTTATTGTCTAAGTGACTTCATTTAAACATGAAGATAATTCCAGATTCTCATTCCTTGAATGACTGTGTTCCAGTTTTTTTTACTTGCACATCTTGACTCATGTTAAATCTAAAACCAAAATTGAGGCGATTAACAATTTATATGATTTTATTGACGGTTAAAAAGGAAAATACGTACTAACTTGACCCATCTGCCAATGAATTTGATAATCGTAATTAATTTTTTATTAAGGCTCAGTTGAGTATATTGCATTTTTTTAATAATCTTAAAATATAAAATGTGTTTTCGCAATTAAGGGAAAGTTACTTTCTCGTAAAATTTTGCGAATGATATGATATATGCAATATATATTATATCGTTATATCATTTGTAAAATATTATTCATCAATGCACAGTACCGTTATAGCCACCAGCGTATAATTGCACGAGGTCATTCTGATGGTAAACCGGTACCTTATTTCCATTATTTTTATTTATTGTTACCATGATTTGCTGTGGAAAGATGGGCGACTCTTGGTGGGTAATATGTTCGTCATTATTAAAATCCAGATTTCAGACCCATGTAGCAGGTAACATTTTCGTTATTAAAAATCAATGCCCATGTGGCGGGTAACATTTTCGTTATTAAAAGTCAATGCCCATGTGGCGGGTAACATTTTCGTCATTATTAAAAAGCCGCGGTCATGTAGCGGGTAACATTTTCGTTATTAAAAATCAATGCCCATGTGGCGGGTAATATTTTCGTTGTTAAAAGTCAATGCCCATGTTGCGGGTATTATTAAACAGCCAGGCCCATGTAGCGGGTAACATTTTCGTTATTAAAATCAATGCCCATGTTGCGGGTAGTATTTTCGTCATTATTAAAAAGCCAGGCTAATGTAGCGGGTAACATTTTCGTTATTAAAAATCAATGCCCATGTTGCGGGTAACATTTTCGTTATTAAAAATCAATGCCGGTGTGGTGTGTAACATTTTCGTCGTTATTAAAATTCAAAGCCTGTGTAGCGGGTAACATTTTTGTTATTCAAAATCAATGACTGTGTGGCGGGTAACATTTTCGCGTTATTAAAAAACAATGCCCGTGTGGCGGGTAACATTTTCGTTATTATAAAAATCAATGCCCGTTCGTGTGGTGGGTAACATTTTCGCTTTTAAAAATCAATGCCCGTGTAGCGGGTAACATTTTTGCTATTAAAATCGATGACCGTGTGGCGAGTAACATTTTCGCTATTAAAATCGATGACCGTGTGGCGGGTAACATTTTCGCTATTAAAATCGATGACCGTTTGGCGGGTATTATTTTCGTTATTAAAATCCATGCCCGTGTGGCGGGTAACATTTTCGTTGTTATCAAAATCAATGCCCGTGTGGTGGGTAACATTTTCGCTTTTAAAAATCAATGCCCGTGTGGCGGGTAACATTTTCGTTGATAAAAATCAATGCCCGTGTTGCAATAACATTTTTTTCGCTAAAACTCGCTGTCTGTGATGCGTATATGAACATTTCTGTACTAAAAATCTATTCCCGCCTTGAGGGTAACGCTGTCTTCATTAAAAAAATTATGCCTGCGTAGAGCGTAACATTTTTTTTCTTTTCAAAATCGATGCTAGTGCGGTGGGCAAACTTTTCTTCATCAAAAATTCCTGTCTATTTGGCCAATATTATTATTTAAAAAATTCCACCCACTTGACCTTTATGATTTTCTTAACAAAAATTAAATAACAGGTTGGCGGATTAAATTTTGATAATGAGCTTATTTTGAATTGTACGGAATATTTCAGAGGACTGTGACAATTGTTATTTATTTTATTTACTATTTGATAATGAAAACCTAGGGGCTGCGGCAAACACTTGCCAGTTTTCATCAATTAACACTTGCTTCTATACACATATTCATGACATTTTAACTGATAAATGCTATAATTATTTATACACGTCTTCAAGGCGCATCAACTAATACGGTTATAACTATTTATCCCCGTGTTCAAGGCGTATATCAACTAATACGGTTATAACTATTTATGCCCGTGTTCAAGGCGCATCAACCAATACGGTTATAACTATTTATCCCCGTGTTCATGGCGCATCAACCAATACGGTTATAACTATTTATCCCCGTGTTCATGGCGCATCAACCAATACGGTTATAACTATTTATCCCCGTGTTCATGGCGCATCAACCAATACGGTTATAACTATTTATCCCCGTGTTCATGGCGCATCAACCAATACGGTTATAACTATTTATCCCCGTGTTCATGGCGCATCAACCAATACGGTTATAACTATTTATCCCCGTGTTCATGGCGCATCAACCAATACGGTTATAACTATTTATCCCCGTGTTCATGGCGCATCAACCAATACGGTTATAACTATTTATCCCCGTGTTCATGGCGCATCAACCAATACGGTTATAACTATTTATCCCCGTGTTCATGGCGCATCAACCAATACGGTTATAACTATTTATCCCCGTGTTCATGGCGCATCAACCAATACGGTTATAACTATTTATCCCCGTGTTCATGGCGCATCAACCAATACGGTTATAACTATTTATCCCCGTGTTCATGGCGCATCAACCAATACGGTTATAACTATTTATCCCCGTGTTCATGGCGCATCAACCAATACGGTTATAACTATTTATCCCCGTGTTCATGGCGCATCAACCAATACGGTTATAACTATTTATCCCCGTGTTCATGGCGCATCAACCAATACGGTTATAACTATTTATCCCCGTGTTCATGGCGCATCAACCAATACGGTTATAACTATTTATCCCCGTGTTCATGGCGCATCAACCAATACGGTTATAACTATTTATCCCCGTGTTCATGGCGCATCAACCAATACGGTTATAACTATTTATCCCCGTGTTCATGGCGCATCAACCAATACGGTTATAACTATTTATCCCCGTGTTCATGGCGCATCAACCAATACGGTTATAACTATTTATCCCCGTGTTCATGGCGCATCAACCAATACGGTTATAACTATTTATCCCCGTGTTCATGGCGCATCAACCAATACGGTTATAACTATTTATCCCCGTGTTCATGGCGCATCAACCAATACGGTTATAACTATTTATCCCCGTGTTCATGGCGCATCAACCAATACGGTTATAACTATTTATCCCCGTGTTCATGGCGCATCAACCAATACGGTTATAACTATTTATCCCCGTGTTCATGGCGCATCAACCAATACGGNTATATATAGGTCCAAATCTGACATTAAGTAGCTAGTCGCTATACTATAGCATTAGGTATTTCTTGCAATCATCAAATATTTAACGAATTTTTTTTAACAAAGACCCTGAATTTTCTGAAAATCCAATAGTATCGCGTTTGAAATTTTTTATTTTTTAATAGTTTATGTTGGTTAGATTTTTCTTTCTAGGACCTTAAAAAATTAGTAAGAAAGTGGCATTTAAATTTCCCCCGTTAAAAAATATTTCTATCGATGAAGATTAATTTTTAGGGCGAATAAAACAAGTTTCAATGGTTAAAAATTGAGTATTTAAATTCACAAACAGCGACAAAGATTATTTTGTTGTTATTTCTAATAATCCTGATTAATCATGGCATTTCACAATCGAATGCTGTAGAAATGGCTTGGAAATAGGCATTTGTACAATAATATTATGACATGAGTTATTTATTAATTGTAATATATGCTATCTAGATAAAAATACATAACTGAATAAAAAAACGCAACCGAATACAAAAATTTGGAGTAGGCGAAAATATAGGATGAATAGAGTAGGCGAACACTGAGGATGAATAGAGTAGGCGAACACTGAGGATGAATAGAGTAGGCGAACACTGAGGATGAATAGAGTAGGCGAACATTGAGGAAGAATAGAGTATAGGCGAACATAAAGGATGAATAGAGTAGGCGAACATAGATGATGAAGCACAGTGTATCTACGTCGGTGGGGTTACATGGGGGTAAGTATAGTATATCACATACAAATAGATCAGTACATCATTAAAAAATTATTCATTGTTAAAATTATTGTGTTGCAGCTGGGAAAAACTTCGTGAAACAGGAAATGTTGTTTCAAGAAATGATAACTTGTTTGATACTTTTGATAAAAAAATTTCAATGCTTCGAATATTCATCACCCAAACGCGCAAATTTTGGAGAGTGTCTGAACTTATAATATTGTATAAATATTATACTCAAGGGAGCAAAAAAGTGCGGTAAGTAACTAAGTAGTTATTGATTTATATTACAAGTCACTGACAGTGGTAAATCTATAATTTTTTCTTCAAGTTAACACGATTTTCGGGGCCATCTGTTTTTGACAGATGGCAATAGGTAACCACCTTACTCGTTCAATGTGGCTATGTAGGTGACCGCCATGTGCTCATGGCAGGAACTCGTTCAAGGTGGCTATGTAGGTGAGCGCCATGTGCTCATGGCAGGAACTCGTTCAAGGTGGCTATGTAGGTGAGCGCTATGTGCTCATGGCAGAAACTCGAGCAAGGTGGCTATGTAGGTGACCGCCATGTGCTCATGGCAGAAACTCGCGCAAGGTGGCTATGTAGGTGACCGTCATGTGCTCATGGCAGGAACTCACGCAAGGTGGCTATGTAGGTGAGTGCCATCTGTAAGGTATCATACTTGCTAAGCTTGTCATGCGCCGCGCATTGAGGCAGCACCTCGCGCAGTCTGTCGAACGCCACGTTCAACGCGTCCATGCGCCGACGTTCCCGAGCGTTCGCCGCCAAACGTCGCAGTCTTTGAACCACTTGTGGATCGTCTGAGTTTTCGGAACTGTCGTCATCTGCGCCAAAATTTTGCATTTTGCAAATGCCATTGTCGTCCAAATTTGTTTTCACTTCTGAAGAATTGTTGTCAACCGCATCCCGTTCTTGCGTCCCTGAAAAATCGTTGCAAAATCCGTCCAACTCTTGCGTATTCTGAGATCTGTGGTCCGCAACCACATTTGTTTCATTGTTTGTGAGGGAGAGATCATCACTAACAGCATCACTAACACTAGCACCTACACTAGTACTAAACACAAAGCCGGAATTATCACCGCTCGTACTGATGGTTCTACGTATGTCTTTTTCAGACTTGTTTGGACTCGTAATGGCTACAGAACTCTTAGGTCTAAGATCACCGTGGTTATCACGACACAGTTCGTTGACAACAACCTCGTTGTTATCGAGCAAACCACAAGTGTTATCACTTTCAAAAGGCGACCAACCGCATCGCACTTTCACCTTCAGATCACTTTCATATATTCCATGTAGACTAGAGTTGCAGCCTTCGCTATAGACAGACTCAGTAGGTTTGTTGTTTGTAGTTTGTCGAGTTTGGGTTACGAAACTGGAAAGATTTGTAGACTCCGAAGAAACCACGATCGAGTCACTAATAGGGTCCAGAAAAGTATTTACTCTGTCGCTAGAGCAAATTCTTTTTCTCGGTTTAAATGATACTTGAACACATCGCTTGTTTGTTGTATTTAGCTTAGGGAATTTCGGATCATTTCCTTCAATTTTCTTCACAGTCGTCTGTTTATTCTTCAATCGGGGACTAAACCTTTTTTCTGGAACCATCGGAGTTTTGTAATTACATTTTTTGGTCATGTTTTTAGGATCATTTGTACAAGCCTCTTTGGTCTTAGTCCCACTTGACTGCTTGGGACTACTCTCGGGTCCTAATATGATGACGTCATCGTCCACGTCAACGATGTTAATGGGAGTTTCGACTTCCAGCCCCGAACGTAAGAGCTCTGTTGCAGACGAAGTCATCTCACTGACTGGTGACGTCACGCCTGAGATGTGAGATCCTTGATTGTCATTGGTCGATAGGAGCAATTGAGGGGACCAATCACAGTGTTTCCCGCTCACGGCGGAGAGGGAAAAGTTTCCACTTCGATAATCAGCAGATGAGACTAAGTGGGTTTTAGGAAAATGCAGATATGCAGGAGGCAACAATGGCGTTGATTTATAATTGTATGTGACAGGTAACCATATATCTGATTTTGTCGATTGTGATTTTCCCAGTTCTCCTAATGCGTGGTTTCCGTAGGAAAAAATGTCGTGAAAGTTTGTACCAGAGACCGTTGATTTTGGTGAATATCTCGGCCCAGATGATGCAATGGTGTCAAGCTGGGGATTTTCGGCTAATATTTTGCCAGAACCATCAAAAGAAACCGCAGGTGTTCCATAAAGTTCCTTATCAGAAAAATCTTTGGTAGAATCAACTTTTTCGTTGGTTCTGGGGAGAATTTGAGATACGTAACCTATGTTGTAAACGTATGGCATGTTTTCAGCGTGTGAAACAGGACACGGCGCAACACTAGTTGATGGATGGACTAGGTTCTCTGGTACCGCGCTTCTTATGTCGTGGATAAATTTAGAATTATTAGTTGAAGTTTTCGTTTCGTCTGCTTTCTGCACAAAATTCAAATAGTTTACAGCAATGGGACCAACAGGCTGTCCCAATGCCTCGACCTTGTTTTCAAATTCATTTGGCTCCGTTTCTTCTGTTCTGTGCACCGAGTCATCATTGACAGGCAAATTTACAGCATTTATGTCATCTTGTGTTAATATGTAATGTGTATCACTGTATTTGTTATCACTGCAACCTACACTTTCGTAAGTCATTGTTATATTTCTTGCACTGGTGCCCAACACCACGTTACTGTAGTTTAACACAGGTTCTTCATCGAAGCTTCTTCGATCTGGCTCATCCACATGAATATAAGTATGCTCGTGATTAATACACTGTTTGTTAAAATTGAAAACACTGTTATTTATCGCGTATTTTGTAACTGAATCACCAGCGGTCACAGCATCAACGTTTGTCACTCCACTTTCAAAGTGGCATTGTCGTGATGAATTAGAAGATGGGGAGCACATTTGAAAATTCGTTTGTCGATTGCTGATATCTGAAGGCGAAATTTGGGAAGTTATTGGTCGGTTACTGATATCTGATGGCGAAATATGGGAAGTTATTGGTCGATTGCTGATATCTAAAGGCGAAATATTGGAAATTATTGGTCGATTGCTGATATCTAAAGGCGAAATTTGGGAAGTTATTGGTCGATTGCTGATATCTAAAGGCGAAATATTGGATATTATTGGTCGATTGCTGATATCTGAAGGCGAGATTTGGGGATTCATAGCTCGATTACTGACAAGTGCAGGCAAAATGTGGGAAGTAGTTTGTCGGTCGAAGGCTAACGAAGATTTTGTTTTGGCGTTGATTTCACAAATTTTCGTCAAACGTCCGTTGAACTGAGGCACATTTGCCGCCATGTTGAACGTTGCATGTGGCACTGCGTTTTGAACGTTCATCAGCACCATTGCTGCACTAAAACTTGGATGCTTATTTTCTTCAATTTATTTAAACAAATAATTAAAGCTTCCGTTTGTTGTTATTAATTCTGTGAAAACTTATAAAGCCTGAGTGGAATAGAAAGGGAAAATTGTTAATTAATTATTATGTGTTGATCAGCCTCAGGTGTGAATTGATTCATTCACAAATACGAGTATATCAACACTAATAAAATTGGATTAACCTCTGATTTATATACCCGAATGATGCATAAGATTCTTATGGTCCAAATTTAATCAATTAAAAAGTGACATTTTCTATCCATGATTAAGGATTTAGTAATTAATTCTGTGATTAAATTACTGACAGAGATATAAACACAAGCTACCACTGGACAAGTCGTCGGTATCTATTGATTTAATTAATTTTAAAAGTCTATTAATAATAATGGTCTATTTAATAATAGGTATATTTGAGTCATATATCCGTAAATATGATAGTTCGTGTTAATAAAATAAATTCCCATTAATAACATGGATATGCTATTATAAGTATGTGTATAAAATATATATATAGATTCAGTGATGGCCAGAATTTGGTGAAATTGCCTTTTCGCTTTTAATTTTACTCCCGCAAGCTCGAGTTCAAACATGGACCACGTGGCGCCTTTCACTAGCACCTCAATCAACATCCGCATACAGTAACAATACACAACCTTCCCTGACCACAGCCAGCGGGCTACTGGCGAGGAGGCGGGGCCTGGCCTCGCTCCTCCTCGGGTAATTATTGTGTGCGTTTTTTTTACCCTAAGAATTTTTTTCATGCATTTGAGTCCAGACGTTAAATTAATTTTAGCCGCACTATAACAATAGACCGTGAAATCTGGGTAGGTCCTGACGAAGTCGGTTAACCTTTAGTAATAACACAAGCCATTATAGCGTTGTGCTTACTGTGTGGTGGTGGGTTGGGGAATTTGTGGTGGAAGTATACAGCAATATCCTTTACAGACAGCAATATCCATTAAAAAACAGATATATCATTTACAGACAGGAATATCCATTAAAAAACAGATATATCATTTACAGACAGGAATATCCTTTAGAGACTGGAATTCCCTTTACAGACAGGAATATCATTTACAGACAGGAATATCCTTTACAGACAGGAATATCATTTACAGACAGGAATATCCTTTACAGACAGGAATATCCTTTACAGACAGGAATATCATTTACAGACAGGAATATCCTTTACAGACAGGAATATCATTTACAGACAGGAATATCATTTACAGACAGGAATATCCTTTACAGACAGGAATATCATTTACAGACAGGAATATCCTTTACAGACAGGAATATCCTTTACAGACAGGAATATCATTTACAGACAGGAATATCCTTTACAGACAGGAATATCATTTACAGACAGGAATATCATTTACAGACAGGAATATCCTTTACAGACAGGAATATCATTTACAGACAGGAATATCCTTTACAGACAGGAATATCCTTTACAGACAGGAATATCATTTACAGACAGGAATATCCTTTACAGACAGGAATATCATTTACAGACAGGAATATCATTTACAGACAGGAATATCCTTTACAGACAGGAATATCATTTACAGACAGGAATATCCTTTACAGACAGGAATATCCTTTACAGACAGGAATATCATTTACAGACAGGAATATCCTTTACAGACAGGAATATCATTTACAGACAGGAATATCATTTACAGACAGGAATATCCTTTACAGACAGGAATATCATTTACAGACAGGAATATCCTTTACAGACAGGAATATCCTTTACAGACAGGAATATCATTTACAGACAGGAATATCCTTTACAGACAGGAATATCATTTACAGACAGGAATATCATTTACAGACAGGAATATCCTTTACAGACAGGAATATCATTTACAGACAGGAATATCCTTTACAGACAGGAATATCCTTTACAGACAGGAATATCATTTACAGACAGGAATATCCTTTACAGACAGGAATATCATTTACAGACAGGAATATCATTTACAGACAGGAATATCCTTTACAGACAGGAATATCATTTACAGACAGGAATATCCTTTACAGACAGGAATATCCTTTACAGACAGGAATATCATTTACAGACAGGAATATCCTTTACAGACAGGAATATCATTTACAGACAGGAATATCATTTACAGACAGGAATATCCTTTACAGACAGGAATATCATTTACAGACAGGAATATCCTTTACAGACAGGAATATNGCTCTAGTCATCCTGACGCAGTTAGGGCGTATCAGTGCTACGGCCGCTCTAGTCATCCTGACGCAGTTAGGGCGTATCAGTGCTACGGCCGCTCTAGTCATCCTGACGCAGTTAGGGCGTATCAGTGCTACGGCCGCTTTCACTGCTGCGTGCTGTGGGTGAGAAAGCGGGGCACAATTTGGAGCATTTGGCCCACTAATTTTTTAATTGTTGCATTGATTGAGATTTTCCATTCCAATTAAACGTCGCTCAATTAAAAATGAATGCCTTAGTGAATGAAATAGCGAGAATGAAGAAAATAAAGTGTAGTATGGATGCACGAGAATGAATGATGCCTAATGGCTGAGTCTTATTAATGCATGTGAATAAATGAAGAGATATAAGTTGGTTCCAAATAGTTTGAATTGAAAAAGGAAAATTTGTATCCCTTCAGTCAACGTGCCTGTATGAATGACTAGCATTAGGTGTTTATCTTATTATTGGTCTGTATTAATATAGTGTAATACATGTGTGCACTAAATGGTCAGCATTGATGAAGAGTAATAAGCAGATCACATTTTAAAAACTTGCTTATAGTCGTCAATCGCATCATTATATCATGAAAACCTTAAGAAATTGCCTAACATCATCCGAAATCATTATCACTGACAAATTTCACAAAGGTTATATTCTATTCATGTTCTTCGAAAAAATCATCTGTTCACTCAAAAAAATATCTGACCGCATTACTTGCGAAATGGAGAGCCCAGAATTCCAAATGCAAACGAATTCTGGTGTCTCAAATGACAAAGATTAAAATCCGGAAAACTACTGATGTCATTCGCTGCACAGGATACTCCGCTGTTCATCGTCTTCTTCAACGCTCCGGCATCTGTTTTCTCTCAACGTTCCGGCATCTGTCTTATGGAGAAAGTCAGTTGCGTTCACGGCGAAAGCACGTGTGTGGATTGCGATCTCTAAAGTAACCGGTAAATTTGTGATTTGAAGACTCTTAGTTTCTAAAAGTAATTATCATCATATTTGTTTCCTCATTAACCCGACTGGCTTTCTCCCTCAGAGGTTTGCCTGTCTCTTATACACATCTAGATGTGTATAAGAGACAGGACTCCAACAGTGTGTTGCAGCTAACAGCCCCCATCTTCCAGATATTGTTTTCAAAACATAAGTAGTTTTCAAAACATAAGTATTCTAAATGGTATGTTATGCTAACCTCTAGGAAAATAAACGTTCTTCTTTATGTACCACCATTACTATTTTATTTTACGTCAAAACTGCTCAATCGGTTCTGCCCCACCCTGTATATTGAGAGGTTGAGATTGTATTGACCTTTTAGGCAATTAGAAAGATTTTCCACCCTAATACAAGTATTCTAATCAAAATATTTAATTTCAATCTTTAAATATCTGAATTTAAAACTAGAAACAAAACAATTACAATTATAAGACTTTATATAAAATAATTAAATGCAGTGAAGGGATATAAAATATTTGAATTGTGCACATGTTTATTTCAAACAGTATTGGATTTTCTCATAACTTAAGTCTCATTTCAAGTCGTATGAGGTTTGTTTGGTTATCGTTCATTTTATGTTTAGTATTGGTTTATTGGTCTGAATTAAATGGGAACAGCGCAGTCAGTCACTCAGTCACTACTAGTCGGCTGTCTCTTATACACATCTAGATGTGTATAAGAGACAGCTGCCACACTGGTTGGTGGAAGTGCTGAAAGAGAAATACAAAGTGAAATCAACAAGTGAAGTGGAGTGATCAAAATCTGAGTTGTGCTCAGGCTGGGAGGTGTGCTACCTGCATACCCGAAGTCTTCAAATCAAATTAAAAAAAAAAAAAAAAATCTGTCTTGTGTGCTTTGTCAGCTTTGAAGTCATTTCGCACTTATTCGGCGTCAGGAATGGAAGGAAAGATCGTAAGCCTTGAGAGGAATGAGAGCTAGTCTACGACACGAGTGAATTTGATGGAAATTTGCATTGGTAATATTAAACCACATTCAACTGATACAAGTAAAATTATGCCAACCCTCAATCATTTTGGCTCACCGAAAAAAAAAAAATTTTGCCCGTTGGCTGTTTGTCAATGAAAGTCTACTACAACATGAAGAAGAAAATTAACTCTGAATATCTAGCTATAAATTCATGTCCATGCAGAGCACAAACGTTTATATTTAAATTACTGGTCTAGCGCCTAGCCCAGAGGCTGAGAGGCAGAATGTTCACTGACTGATCAAATGTGTGGCATGTGCATCAGTTGCTATCACTTCAGAGAAATAGGTAAATCAGTTCAATCACTAGTTCACTACCATCAAACGGGGTAATAAGGGCTGATTGCCTGGGCATGGTAAATCGGGACAGTCTTCCCACATTTACTAGAACTGTTGTACTTTGTAGCAGTTAAACTTATCAAAATATTGTAAAACTAAAAATAGTGGTGTAGAGTTCTAATATTTTTACTATCTTATCTCCACTATGCAGAGGGTGGATGCAGCGTCACCAATATATGGATTTTTAAGCCCAAAGCGTCGCCGGCCATTTTAAAGATACGTCGCCGGGTAATTTTTAATGAAAAGCCATTTACGCTGAGTAATGACTGTCTCTTATACACATCTTTATGAAGTCTTTTCGACACTTAATAAAATCACCCATTGTCAACAGCCTTAATTAAAACTAAAATAAGTCACAAGAATACAAAATGAGTGAATTTTGACCAAAAATAACCAATAAATGATAAACATTTTATTTGTAGATGAGTAAATATAAGGTAGTTAAAAACTTTATGCTAATGGGCATTATAACGCACACAGAATTTTGTCAACAGGATCATAGTCATTAAAATCAATGAATGCAAATCCTCGATGCCGTCCACTGGAGCTGTCATACATGATGTTCACACAGGTGATCTGACCGAACTTCTCAAAGCACTGTTGAATATCAGCTTCTTTGGCGTCCTGATGAAAATAACAGAAAAAAGTGTCAAAGAAAAATTATTATCAGGATTAAAAGAGGATTCTGAGAAATATCTTTGATGGATTCTGAAAAAAGTGAATGAAAAAAATTACTACTACTACAAATAGNCTATGACACTTTCCTCAAGTTTGTCATTTGCATATGTAACTAGAAGAGTTCTACTACAATGCACCAAAACCTGGAGTTATTTGGAGTTATTTAACCAAAAAATATAATTGATTTTACCACCCGGTCTAAGTTACCCCAAGAGCTGGGGTAGCAAAGACCACCACTTTTTTTGAAATTACATAAAAACTATGAGAGGCAGGAGCCAGCAATTTATGGTGAGTGAAGCTAGAGTATAGACCTGTATTTTGCATGTTTCAATTCAAGTTTAATTTAGCTAGTAAAAAAATGGCATCATTTATAAAAATAAAAGTGGTCTAAGTTACCCCATTTTACGGTATTGAATATTGAGCACTACTTAATTAGGCTTTTAAGTAACAGTTTTTAAGCTTTTAATCAAGAAAATTTTAATTTTTGCACACAGCTTGGAACGAGCTGTGTGTGTCCAATTCATTTCAAGTTGTGTCGGAATTAGTTTTTATGTGTCTAAATTCATTTCTCAACTTAATCATCTATTAATTTATTTACCACTTGGAATCAGCAATAAATACAAGTATACTTAATGGATTCCTAATATATTCACAGACGTATTTAAAAGTCTCAAACCATAATATTCTTTCTACACATTAAGTACACAAACAGTTCATCACTATTTGATAGAGCAAGGTCAACTGTCAACTTTGACACATTTTTCGATGATCTCATTGGGTGGCATGCACTGTCTCGTTGGATTTTACATTTTCCTGCTAGATGGCCCAGACCTAGTGTTTTGGCAGTAGTTTGACGCGCAAATGTATGATGTCACTATTTCAACCATCAACAAACACATGGAACTAAAACAAAGCTTAATATAAAGGAAAAACTAGAGAGGTGTCGGAATTGCCTACGATGTCGGAATATACCGCGTTTACCCTACCTACATTTACTACGTCTGAAAAATCCCTGAAAAAAGTAAGTAAAGGGAGATTTTGGAAAAGTACCCCGCCTAAGGTCTGTAGCAAAAAAATATTTGCCTTATTGAAAAATTTTACTAGCTTAAAAGTTGCACACAGGTACTGGCTTGAAAATGTGATTGACAGAATTTGCGTATCTCATTCCAAAAAAATGGTGGCCATTTCTGCAGGACGGGGTAATAAGGATTGAGGAACAGGGTAAATGCGGTATATTCCGACATCGTGGGTAATTCCAACACTTCTCAACTTTTTCCTTTATATCAAGCTCTGTCTTAGTTCCATGCATTAGTTGATGGTTGAAATAGTGACATCATACTATTGCATGCCATATTATTGCCAAAACACTAGGTCTGGGCCGTCTGGCGGGAAAATGTTAAGATCCAAAGAGAGACAGTGCACATCACCCAGTGAGAACATTGAAAACAGGTCGAAGTTGATAGTTGACCTTGCTCTATGCCTCTACCAAATAGCAATAAACTGTTTGTGTAGAATGAATATTATAGTTTGAGACTTTGAAATAAGTCTGTGAATATATTAGGAATCCTTTAAGTATACTTGTATTTGCCGATTTCAAGTGGCAAATAATTCCGACACAGCTTGGAATTAGACACACACAGCTCATTCCAAGCTGTGTACAAAAATTAGAATTTTCTTAATTAAAAGCTTAATACCGTAAAATGGGGTAACTTAGACCACTTTTTTTTATAAATGATGCCATTTTTTCACTAGATAAATTAAACTTGAATTGAAACATGCAAAATACAGGTCTATACTCTAGCTTCACTCACCATAAATTGCTGGCTCCTGCATTTTCTATGTCAAATAGTTTTTGAGTTGTGGGGGTTTTTGTTAAAAACACGAAAAGTGGTCTAAGTTACTCCGCCGGTCTAAGTTACCCCATTTTACGGTAGCGTAGCTCTCAATTAGAAGCTTAATTGAAAAATTAAAATCTTTTAATTGAGCTCATTCCAAGCTGTGTCGTATTCCGATGCAGCTCACACAGGGCATCGTAATTCCAAAACAGGGCACCGGAATTACAAATTAATAGAGTTTGAAGTGCTGCTGGAATTAGTCTTACAATATGCTAAATTTAGTCACACACAGCGTTGGAATTCAGGGATTTTGTAGGTTTGAATTCTAAAGGCTTTTAAATAAATATGGCAACAGTTTGTGACGTTTCATCTTTGCTGGCGTGTAGTGTGGTGTTTTGAGAGTGACGTAAAGCAAACAGAACTCGACAGGGTTGGCAATGATTAAATCAAAATGATTAAATCATGTGATTAAATCACTTGATTTTTTTATAAAAAAATCATGATTTTTTTGATTTTTTCGATTTTTTNAATAGAAACAAAACAATTACAATTATAAGACTATATATAAAATAATTAAATGCAGTGAATGGATATAAAATATTTGAATTGTGCACATGTTTATTTCAAACAGTGTTAGCTTTTCTCATAACTTAAGTCTCGTTTCAAGTCGTATGAGGTTTGTTTGGTTATCGTTCATTTTATGTTTAGTATTGGTTTATTGGTCTGAATTAAATGGGAACAGCGCAGTCAGTCACTCAGTCACTACTAGTCGGTGTGTATAGAAGGTAGAGTCTGGTAGATTTATAGGACATAAACTAGTAGATCTATTGATAGTGCTGTGCACTGTGCTATCAGCTTCCTATCTGTTGTGTGACTCTTCAATGTTTAGGAGATCTGCATTCCTGAAGTGTTTTTGTATATTGAAGCCAGTTAATGGTCAATATTTAGCTTCTTACCTTGCTCCATACAAACTTTACAAAGCTAATGAATAGACTTATCAATATTTGTTTACCCGAAAATCCCTAAGTGGTAAACACCACCTTGGCCTGTTGGCCATTATTGGAGGCAATAAGTGCCCTTTTTAGCCATCCATTATGATCCATATACTGTTATTGTTAGTACGTAGGCTAATTGCAACATAAAAAATAACACCTCATAAAAGACAAAAAAGCTGAAAAAATCAAAAAAATCAAAAAAATCAAAATATCATGAAAAAATCAAAAAAATCATTGATTTTTTATTTTTTTGATTTTTTTAAAAAAATCAAAAAAATCGCCAACCCTGGAACTCGAGTTGCGCATACAGTGATTTTTTTATAGCCATTCATTATTTGTTACATCATTAAAGTGTCGGAATATACAGTGTTTACCCCACCCCCCTGGCCCCTTGAGCTATCTTGTAGTACCAATGTACCATACTTTACAGCCTGGGCAAACATTAGCTTATATATATCATTTATTTATTTATTTATCTCGTTCACCAAAGAAAATACCCGATTCTTTGAACACCTGTGGCGCCACAGTCGTGTGCTATTTGAAATTTCATTTCTCAACTGATCAGACACATTCCTATTAATTTTTTTTTGGTTTTGGAAGGTATCAGCTAATAAATGTTTTTTTTTCTTCCAATGGCAGTTGGCATATTCAAGTGACCAAATTACCCTAGTATTCAGGAAACCAAGTAATATGTTTATTGATATTTTTGCAGAACAAAGTGAGTGTTGATTTAAGAATACTAATTTTTTTAATCCCCTGTATTCTTTAGCTGTATAGTTGAAAGACTTTGTCAAGTTTACTTGCTAATTCTCAAATTGTCACTAAGCACAATGAGTGATTCAGAGACAAGTGTGTCCAGTAGGAGTCCTTCACCAGCAAAGCATAATAAACAGAGCTCAAGATCTCATCCTCATCTTCAGTCACGAGCTCCTAGGAGGGATCAGTCCAGGGACCGTGACTCTGATGCTTCATCTTGTGCATCAAGTGGAGAGCGGAGACATGGAGCTCACGAGTCTAGAGGTCATAGGAAGAAACTGTCGAAGGATGTTAATCATGATCATGGCAGACATGAGTCCGGGAAACATTCTAAACACGAGCACAGTGAAGACAGGCTTTCTTATGACAAAGAAAGAAGAAACAGAAGAATGCATGGAAAGGAAAAAAATGACAGTGTTAATGAAAAGAGAAGATATTCCAGGTCAAATTCTGCTAGTGAATCCGAAGATACATCGCCATCTCTTAGAAGGCAAATTTCTAGAGACAGGGATAGATTTAGAAATTCACACCATGACAACAATAAGGATACCAGAGAACAAAGAAGATCTAGATCTGGATTGAAATCTCCAAAGTCACACTCTAGAAATCAGAGATCAACTTCTAGAGATTCAAGAGAAGAATCAGCTGATGATAGGAAAAAAGATTCTCGGTCACATAAAAAAGTGCAATCTCACTCCAAGGATAGAAAGAAAACTGGATCCAAGCCCAGAGATTCTTCTGAATCAGAACTCTCGGAAACAACTGCAGAAAAACATAGCAGAGATCATCGACATAGTAAAAAGTCTAAGCGGGCTCGATCTGAGTCTTCAAAGTCCAAGTCTCCAAGCCACTTTCATAAAAAGAAGAAGAAGAAAAAAAGGTCTCGATCTGAATCATCAGCGTCTAGATCTCCCAGCCGTTCCGTGCACAAGAAAAAACTTTCCAAGCAAGCAAGGGCCGGCAGCTCCTCAGAGCCTGAGACGCAACAGGAAGTGAAGAAGAAGGCAGACAAGCCCACAACTGCAGCGGAGCAACTGAAGGGATTACTTGGAGATGGCCCTACCAAAAGTAGGTTTCTTTGATTTGCCTTCGAAAATATTTATAACTTTTCTATTGTTTCATTTGTTTCATCTTCTCTATGTGTCTCCATTGAAATTAACTGTAATTTGCATTTTGTCTCATCCTTAAGAATGCATGATGTCATGGTCTTGATGGAAGAATTAGCTGGTTCTGGCATCAAAAAATGCCATCAAACTGATACTAACATGAACAACCTCATACTAACATGAACAGAAACCTGCTAATTTTATGCAGTTTCATGAATAATATTGTTTTTATCCATAAATCTATCCTATTATACTAAAAATTTGTGAAAATTTGCCATAATAATTGTATAAATTGTCTGATTAAGCATTATATAGATGTTTTTAAAAAAGATAAGTGGTTGAATCAAATATTCAGATGCATGAAAGTTCAAAGGTACTTAATGGCTTGTAGGGATATTGCATTAAGAGCAGTGTAGACTGTAGAATAAAATTTGAAAATATTATGAGGTATTGTAGTGCTCATCTTGTTCCATAAAAACAGGGTGACTTGGACCATTTTGATATATAAAAACAAGTCACTACACTCAAAAACTCTACAGAAAACAAAACTCTACACTCAAAAACTCTAAAGAAAACAAAACTCTATATTCAAAAACTCTACAGAAAACAAAACTCTACACTCAAAGTTCTTACCTTAGAAAAGTTGTATTGACAGCTCTTGAAGTACCATGAGATAAGCTACAAATGCAATAATGAGATATTTCATGGTTATGTTTTACAATTTATTTACTATGTGCATATTTGTACCACAAAAAGTAAGCACTGAAAATGGTCCAAGTCACCCCTTCTACAGTACTTATATGGATTGAAATTAGCAGCAAAAATTTTTTATATGAAAGTATGCTAGTTTTTTGTGCTTCAATTCATGGAATATTCGATATGAAGTCTTTATAACCACTCTGCACATAAGCTATTATATTAATTATCCATTAAAATTGAGTTTGTTCACATTTAATGATATTTTTTATATAGGTACCAATCAAATTAATGTTGGACTGTAATCCACATTCTTTCTACAAAATAAATGTAATTTATTCTTCTTTAAGAAATTGGAACAATTATGGGCAACTTCTTTACTTTTTATAAATGAACTTGCATCAACTTTATCTTAATATAAATTAATCTTAATTAATTAATATTTTTAAATTAATTATTAACAATAATCAACATAATCAATTGATCAATAATTCAATAATGATAATAATTAAATGAACTTGCATCAAATTTATATTAATATAAATTAATCTTAATTAATTAATATTATTTAATTAATTATTAACAGTAATCAACATAATCAATTGATCACTAATTCAATAATGATAATAATTTTGTACCAGGGCTGGGGTCACCACCTTCACCTGACGGGCGCTGGGGCCACAGCAAATACCACGAGCAGCTGCGGCAGCAGTACTACGGTGAGTGCTGTGGAAGATGTAACATACTGTAAAGTTGGGTGACTCGTACCATTTCTAACCCTCATTTTTTTGTGAAATAAATAGTGACAAACCAGAAACTTGCGGCCATAGTGACAAACCAGAGATTTTTTAGAATCAGTTCATTTTTAACTTCTTCATTTACCTAAGATTTAAACCAATTTCTTAGGTATGATACCTAATGCTGGTATCCAGGATACCTACTTTACTGGTCTACTTGTGGGACTCAAACATGAACTTGAGAAGTTGAGGGAGAGTCTAAAAAAAACTCTCTGCTTTGCCTGCGGCTGATGTAACATGCTGTAAAATTGGGTGAATCATACCATTTCTAACCCTCATTTTTTTGTGAAATAAATATACATAAAGTATATTTATAAAATACCATAAAACGGGGTAATAAGGGACGGTTTTGAGCCTTTTTACAACACTTCTCTTTAACTTCACTTCTTGTTTGTCTGTCTGTCTGTCTGTCTGTCTGTCTGTCTGCTACAAATCTTGTAATCAAAATTTAATACACTTCTACTTATCCTATCGATCTGAAATTTTGTCCACTTGTGTAAAGTTGGAGACAATGCATGAATCAAATGTAAAAAAAAAAGATTTTAGAAATTAAATTTTTTTTTTATCAATATTAAAAAAAATTGAAAAAATAATTTTGTCAGCTACAAATCTTATAACTGATATTTGACTCACTTTTACCTGTCTAATTGATCTGAAATTTTGCACACTGGTGTGAAATCAGAGGCAATGCACGAATCAATAACCAGCATAAATAATTTTGAAAAAAAAATTTATATATTAAAAAAATTTATATATATTTGAAAAATTGAAAAGGTAGTTTTTTTAATTTTCGAAAATTAGATGAGAAATTCATTGTACATCTGTAAGATTGGAGATACTGGATTCTTTGGAAGTATTGTCTTTAAAAAGTAGTTTTTAAACGTATATTATTTTGTTAAAACTTCTTACCATGAAACATTTCATAAACAAGTTTAGACTCATTTCAGAGCTCTTTGCAAGGGCTATAGAATGGCATCTTCAAAAAAATGCCATATTCTATTTGTAAGGTGCCTGACATAAAATAAAATTCGTCCCAAATTACCCCTGGGAACGGGGTAATCCGGGACACTTGCAATAAAACTCAATTTTAAAATGTTTGAAGCATGCAGAGTGTACTTATCCATTACTAACAATACTCTGAAGTCCTCCTTTTGCATTGTAAATGATGTACATGTAGAATACATGACATTTTCTGTGTTTTTTACTTGTTTATTCTTTATTGATATGATATCACTATATTCATTCATTGATGCGATATTACCGTATCCATGAACATGCCGTTGAGCATTAACAACAACCTTGTCCACTGCAAGCTTCATATCAGCAGCCTTATAGCATTTTTCCTGTATCTGTAAGCTTACAGGATGGCTTGTAATTTCACACCATTTTAATTGGGTTAAGTGAATTCACCATAAAAAAGATTGTAAAAAATATACCTGAAACAGAAAGAAATGTTTCAGAAACAATCATCGTATGTTTTGAAGAAATAAAGCATACGGTACTTTTTATTGACAAATTCCTTATTGTTTTTCTCAATGAGTCAAACAAAATTTCTTGCTAGTGCTTGGAGATCAAAAAGCAGGTTACAAAAATGATGTTTTACTGGTATATGACATTTAGAATGTAAGAGAAAGAAATATACCTATATTCATCCTGTTTTTGGGGAATATCCTGTTACTTATATATGTGGTGCACTAATGTTCCTCATGATATGATTGATTTTGAGATAAGATGACATTTTACATAAATTTTATATAAATAGATGGCTGATTTTGACATAAGATTCATACTATTTTTTGCAACACTTCTCTTTAACTTCACTTCTTGTTGTTTGTTTGTCAGCTACAAATCTTATAATCAATATTTAACACACTTCTACCTCTCCAATCAAGCTGAAATTTTGCACACTTGAGTAAAGTTGGAGACAATGCATGAATCAATTGAGAGAATAAATAATTTTGAAAAATTTAATTTTTTTTATTGTAAAAATAAAATTTGAAATCAATTTTTTAATATTTGATAATAAAATTAGAAATTCATTGTACATGTGTAACATTGGAGACACTGGATTCTTTAGAAGAGTTGTCTTTAAAAAGAGTAATTTTTAATGCATACTATTTTTATAGGTTCGTCCTCGAGCAAAGACGGTCTCCTTCCCACCCCCCACAGCGGGGGCTCCGCACCCTCTTCCCACCACCGCCACCCCGACCCTCCCTCAGAGCCCCGCCACCACCACCACCACCGCCACCATGGCAGGTCACATGACCGGAGCACCCGACACAAACCCTTCAGGTGAGGCCCCCTGCTGCCCCCTGCCCTCCGAGTGAAGACTTCAGCACCCAGGGGCTGGGGGCATGAGCAGGGGTACTCTATACTATTATTTACTCTATTTATTATACTCTACTCTATACTCTATTATTATTATTTGGGCAATATTATTATTTATACTATTATTAATACTCTATTTATTATTATACTCTATTTATTTAATCTATACTATTATTTACTCTATTTATTATTATTATTTATCTATACTATTATTTACATGTACAAATCCATGTCTATTGACACATTGACTCTGATGGCTTCATCTTGTACTATTATTTCATTTTTAGCGCATTTTCTCATCTATGGAAAAAATGCACTATTGTGCTCGCCATGTCCGTCCGTCCGTCCGTCTGTCCGTCCGTGACCTCAAGTTTTTGTCAACGAGAAAATGCGCTCTCTGTCACTCACTGCAGTGAGTACTGAGTTATATTTTTTTAATTTTTCATACTATTATGAAATGCAGAAATAAAAAATTTTATAGTGATTTTTCATTGGTCCTAAACATTCTACTAACGGAATATCAAGTATAATGTGTTAATAAATCCAAACTAGTGTTGTGAAATTTATTTTCATAAAAAAGTGTTGACTTAATTGAAATGGGACGTAGGTATATGTACCACTGCATCCTTGAGAAATCCATGTCTGTTAACAGGAACATATCAGCCTTATGGATCACTTACATATGGCCAGATAAATTATAGAATTTGCTTTGATTCAAATATTCACCCCGAAAATATTTATGCAATTCAATCTTCCTCCATGCGGGCAAGCAAGTTTTATTCATTCTTTTAAATAAATTAAGTCAGACATGTAGGATTCTGTTTTTAATATAGCTGACGGTATTGTCTCATTGGATGGCCATTGACTTATGAGGGAGAGAATTCTGAAGCATGCCCATTTTCTGGGTAATAGGGTAACTTAGACCACTTTTTTTATAAATGATGCCATTTTTTTACTAGCTAAATTAAACTTGAATTGAAACGTGCAAAATACAGGTCTACACTCTAGCTTCACTCACCATAAATTGCTGGCTCCTGCCTCTCATAGTCTTTATGTGATTTCGAAAAAGTGGTGGTCTTTGTTACCCCAGCTCTTGGGGTAACTTAGACCGGGTGGTAAAATCAATTATATTTTTTGGTAAAATAACTCCAAATAACTCCAGGTCTTGGTGCATTGTAGTAGAACTCTTCTAGTTACATATGCAAATGACAAACTTGAGGAAAGTGTCATAGTTTGCCAATGGGGGGCGCCGCCCCATAATGAGGGAAATGTGACTACCTAATGGCAGCCCTGATGGGGTAAATATTGACTGGCTTGGAAATTAAGTTAAAATTACCATATATAAGACTCTGTAGAGTCTGAAACATAAAATATGTTATATATGGTAATTTTATATTAACTTCCAAGCCGGTCTATGTTACCCCGTCAGGGCTGACATTAGGTGTTCTAAGTTTCCCCATTTGGGGGGCAGCGCCCCCCATTTGCAAACTATGACACTTTCCTAAAATTTATCATTTGCATATGTAACTAGAAGAGTTCTACTACAATGCACCAAGACCTGGAGTTATTTTACCAAAAAATAAAAAAATTGGCTTTAAATAATAGCTCTTTTTCATGGGTCACATTTTAAATTTGTAACCTGTTAGATATGCAAACTTTTTAAATCTTTCCATTGTGTTATGTAGCCTCAGTATTAGGCCTTTCATGCCCTTTGACAAAATTTTTCTATGTCAAATAGTTTTTGAGTTTTGGGGGTTTTTGTTACAAAACGAAGAGTGGTCTAAGTTACCCCGCTGGTCTAAGTTACCCCATTTTACGGTATTAATTCTAAAACTCCTGTAATCTATGAATTCACTGAAAATCACTGGAATATAATATAAAATTATATCTATCATTTTTTTCTTCACTTTATTGAATATAGGTATTAATTCTTAACTCTTGTAATTTATGAATTCACTGAAAATCAATGGAATATAAAATGAAATTATATTTTGTATATAATCTTCTAAGTACAAAATTTTCTTTAAAATTATTATAATGAAAGGAACTAAAAGATTGTCCGGGGTTGCAGGGACCAGTTTGAGGAGATGCTGGAGCAGCGCCGGAGCTGCAGGAGGGACATCGCCAGGGACGGAGTGCCTCTAGTGTGGGGGCAACCGCCTCTTGAGTGCCCTGAGTGAGTGGCCGGTGCCCAGTGTGGGGTGCCCTGAGTGGGGGTGAGAAGTGCCTCTAGTGTGGGGGCAACCGCCTCTTGAGTGCCCTGAGTGAGTGACTGGTGCCCTGAGTGGGGTGATGAGTGCCTCTAGTGTGGGGGCAACCGCCCCTTGAGTGCCCTGAGTGAGTGGCAGGTGCCCTGTGTGAGTGGCAGGTGCCCTGAGTGGGATGTTAACTCTGGATGGAGTGAAAATTGTGGGCTTTACTTTTTGGAAATAGAAGATGTTCAAAATTCAATTATTGATCAGTTCAGTAATTCACTAATTACTAGTTATTCATTATTCATTAGTTATTCATTATTCATCAATTATTCACTAATTATTCATTAGTTCTTAGTTATTCTTTGATCATTCATTAATTATTCATCAATGTTTGCAGTTCAGACGAGCACAGCGAGCATGAGGGGGCGGAGGCCCCCAGCGCCCCCCTGCCCCCCACCAAGCACAAGACCAAGTCTAAGAAAGAGAAGAAGAAGCGCAAGAAGAAAGAGAAGAAGAAGCTACGCAAGCAGAAGCGCAAGCTCAAGAAGCTCAAGGCGGCGCTCAAACTCCAAGGAGGCAGCGTTAAAATCAAGGATATCTCCTCCGACTCAAGCTCCGACTCTGAGTCCGACTCCGACTCATCCGACTCCGAGGAGTCAACCACGTGGATTGAGCGAACAAGTTAGCCAGTTACTCTTTTTTTACCTTTTTTACTACTTTTTTTACGTTTTTACTCTTTTTTTAACTTTTTTACTACTTTTTTTACTACTTTTTGTGGTACTTTTTTATACATTTGTAATTTTTTCTGCATTTTTCACTTATTTTTGCTACATTTTTTCCCTTTTTTTGATACATTTTTATAATTTTTTTGCTGCATTTAAATCTTTTTCCCCTCTTGAACTATAGTCTTTTTCTACACTTAAAGAAATAACTTGTCCAATTTGTGATGCATTTTTGGCCCAGTGTGAGTGGGTCGTCCTGCTCAAGTTACCTCCTCTACATGGAGGTTATATTATGTATATCGCACAGTAATTATTTTTAATTAATTAATAATTAATTCCTGTTGTCCGCAGAAGGCGCTGACGGGGAGATGGTCGAAGAGGAGGTCATCGGTCCCCTGCCCAAGCAGCAGGTTACCCTCACCAAGAAGGACTACGGCAAGGTAATTAATTGGTAATAATGGTAATGAATACTGTTTGCTTGCATGGCAAGGTAATTAATAATTGGTAATTTAGGTAATAAATAATGTTTGCTTGCATGGCAAGGTAATTAATAATTGGTAATTTAGGTAATAAATAATGTTTGCTTGCATGGCAAGGTAATTAATAATTTATTTATTATCGTCTTGTGCCTCGTTGTCACATCTCATGCCACGTTGCCACATCTCATGCGACGTTTCCACATCTCTCATGCCGCGGTGCCACATCTCTAACGCGACGGTGCCACATCTCTCATGCCACGTTGCCACATCTCTCACGCTACGTTGCCACATCTCTCACGCCGCGGTGCCACATCTCTCACGCCACGTTGCCACATCTCTCATGCTACGTTGTCACATCTCTCACGCCACGTTGCCACATGTGCAGGCGCTGTTGCCAGGTGAAGGCGCCGCCATGGCGGCATTTGTGGCGGAGGGCAAGCGAATCCCCCGACGTGGCGAGATCGGTCTCACGTCCGACGAGATCACGTCATACGAGGACGAGGGCTACGTCATGTCAGGTGTGTCCCCTTTAACCCCTGATAACCCCTTTAAACCCTGATGCCCAATTCAACCCCTACTACCCTTTAAATCCTTCAACCCCATCACCCCTCTTAACCCCTGAAAAGCCGTTTCGACCCCTCTAACCCCTTCAAACCCTCTAACCCCTGATAACTCTGTGAACGGTGGACAACGTTCACTGTCATCCGTGTTCATTTTATCTAGTGTGCACACCGAAAGCCACATCTAGCGTGGCTGCCTTAGTAACATTGATGTCCGGACCTTACTTGGGTGGTAGTGACTTAGTGCAAGGTTTGGGCCTATACTTTCAGAAAAAAGTTAAGAGATCGTAAGTTCATCAGCCAATCATTGACGGCCTTGCAAGCAAAAACCACCAATCATAGACAAGAAAATAGAGCGTAAGTACTTACGTTCACTTAGCGAGTTTTGAAAGTATGGCCATAGGTCTGAGTGGCTGTGAGTCAGTTAGTCAGTCGTGTCCCGCCAGCCATACAGTGAGGTTCATACCTGTTCTCATCTCGCTCCGTTGCTAAGTTAGCTCCAACGCTAGTTTGTGATGCTCCAACGCTAGTTTGTGATGCTCCAACGCTAGTTTGTGATGCTCCAACGCTAGTTTGTGATGCTCCAACGCTAGTTTGTGATGCTCCAACGCTAGTTTGTGATGCTCCAACGCTAGTTTGTGATGCTCCAACGCTAGTTTGTGATGCTCCAACGCTAGTTTGTGATGCTCCAACGCTAGTTTGTGATGCTCCAACGCTAGTTTGTGATGCTCCAACGCTAGTTTGTGATGCTCCAACGCNGCTCCAACGCTAGTTTGATCTTGTGCTCCAACGCTAGTTTGATCTTGCGCTCCAACGCTAGTTTGATCTTGCGCTCCAACGCTAGTTTGTTTAGCTGTGCTCTAAATGCTCCATCAAGCAGTGTAATGTCTATCGTGCTGGTTCTGTTATTTTTTAAACTTATCCCTTTCAAGTGCTCTTTGCTGCAATAAAACTATGTTTTATCCGTGTAACCGAAGTTTTAATGGAAGACATTCTATTGCAACAAAATGCACTTTAACTAGTCACAGAGTCCTTGAACTTTTTACGAGATAGTTGCCGGGGTTTGGCTGTAAGGGCTCTGATCTTTCTGACAAGTTTAAGGGTTGCGGCAGTCGTTCGGTGACAACTCCTTTAACCCCTCACAACTGTCCCCTTCTGACGCTCCTTCAACTCCTTCAACCCCTCTAACCCCTGTAACCCTCTCAAAGCCCTTTAACCACTTCAAAACCTCTAACTCCTGATAACCCATTTCATAACTTTCCCCTCCTGACGCCTCTCTAACCCCCCTCAAAGCCCTCTAACCCCTTCAACCCTTCTAACTCCTTCAACCCCATTAACCCCTCTACCTCTACAGGGTCGCGGCACCGGCGCATGGAGGCGGTGCGGCTGCGTAAGGAGAACCAGATCTAACCCCCTGTAAATACCCCTACAGGGTCGCGGCACCGGCGCATGGAGGCGGTGCGGCTGCGTAAGGAGAACCAGATCTACAGCGCCGACGAGAAGCGCGCGCTGGCGCTCTTCTCGCGCGAGGAGCGAGCCAAGAGGGAGAGCAAGATACTGACGCAGTTCAGGGATATAGTGACGCATAAGATTAATAAGAGGGGCAACTAGGGGGAGCTGGGGGAGTGCTAGCGGAAGGAGAGGGAGGAGGAAGGCGTGGGGGAACTAGGGGGAGGAGGGAGAGGGGGAACTAAAGGGAGGAGGAGGGAGTGGGGTACTAGGGGAGCTGGGGGACTAGGGGGAGCTGGGGGTGTAGGGAGAGTGAGGGGGAGCTGGGGGATAGGGAGAGCTGGGAGAACTAGGGGGACTGAGGGAGTGCTAGGAAGGACTGTGGGGAGGGGCAACTAGGGGAGGAGGGAGTGGGGGGAACTAGGGGGAGCATGAGGGAAAATTCATTATTTTTTAGTGTAATAATAAATTGTACAAATCATAAATTTCAACTAAGAACACATTGGACGATGATAATATTTTAGCACGTAGGTAGGAATATCATTAGGATGCTGGACTTGTAACGAGACTGTTATTTAAGTAGACGTTATGGTTGTTTTATTTAGGTCTCCATTAAACGTAAGCTATAATTGCGCGTGTTTTATTAACAAATGAATATAATTTAATAACAATAATTAGGACTGACTTTAACTTCATATAGCACGTATGTACGTTTGTGATCTACTATCGTGAAAACGTTCAAATAACACGGAGTTTTTTTTATTCATTAAACTATTAATAATATTAGGCTAATATTCACTAGCTATTATTAATTATTAATAATAACTAATTTGCTAGTATTCACCAACCGTCACTTAAACTTCTGATCTCGACTGATATTCAGCTCAGACGTCTGGTTAAGCCGTGGCCTTAGATGTTGCTAAAGTATATTATATATACTGTGTTAGTCATGAATATAACACTGGTTTTGTATTGTTCGAGTATTTATCATTTCTGTTTTTGAATCACGCACTAGGCCTCGTTGTGCATGTGATTTATAATCGCTTCATCTTTGGTCGTGCTCGATTATTTACTATAGTTATCTGAGGCTATCTTTAAATCTTACATTAGCTAGGTCATTCAATGTCATATGTTAGCTAACTTCAGCTATAAAAGACAAACTTTATTTCACAACCCAACCTGCCTGAAGCCTTAGCTACCAATAGGGAAATGTGCTTTTTACACGAGGCTAGTATTAGGTGCGAGTTTTTGCATTCCAAATATTGCGATAATCTATTCTTCAGACGCAAGTAGCTGATGCAATTTAGGTTGTTAATGTCAAGTCAAGAAAACATTGCAGCTTAAAATCGAAAAAAATATAACTCAGTACTCACTGCAGTGAGTGACAGAGAGCGCATTTTCTCGTCGACGAAAACGTGAGGTCACGGACGGACGGACAGACGGACATGGCGAGCACAATAGTGCATTTTTTCCATAAAAGGAAAAAATGAGAAGGCTCAATGAGAAATAGGCTCAATGAGAAAAATAGAATCAAAAGTAAAATGAGCAATAATAGACGAGGGTAAACTTGTTGGCAAAGGAGAAAAACGACGAAGAACTTTTAGAAGCATAGAATTTGTAAAACTATAATAAAAAATAAACTGCAGTCTGATTCTTATAGCCGTAGTGTGCGCAACTGCGCCGCTCTGTATTATGCTGGGAGCAAGTGTTTCTAATATATCATATCATACAACATATCATAGCACATCATATATCATAACAGTGATGTTGGCGCTGAAGAGTAGGCCTGATGTGGCCTACGATTCTTATACTTTTCGTGACTTGTCCACAGGAGATCTAAAAACAGTTCTTTTGACCGGATCTTTTCCAACTATCGATAGTTTAATGGTTCGATACAGCCTACAGGTTCGATATACCTTGTGCTAAGCATTTCAAGTCGGAACATATATTTTTCCATAGCTTTATCTAGTCTGTTCTTGAACGCGTTCATACTTGGAGCGCCAACGATGTCATCGGGGAGGTTGTTCCACATGTCGGTGATTCGAAGCGAGAAGATATTTTGTCGCGTGGAGAAGTTGCAGCGCAGTTTTTTTTAGCTTATAGCTGTGGCCCCTGGTGTTTGTTCTTGTTTCAAATTCTAGTAACCCTTCAGGGACCTTGTATAGACCATGAGTATACTTGTATACTTCAATGAGGTCCCCACGCAGACATCGATAACTGAGGCTTGGAAGCTTCATAATCTCTAATCTTTCTTCAAAGGAGTTGCCCTTCAAGCCTGGAATAGAAACAAGAACCAACACCAGGGGCCACAGCTATAAGCTAAAAAAACTGCGCTGCAACTTTTCCACGCGACAAAATTTCTTCTCGCTTCGAATCACCGACATGTGGAACAGCCTCACCGAAGACATCGTTGGCGCTCAAAGTATGAACGCGTTCAAGAACAGGCTAGATAAATATATAGCGGTTTCAGCGTTTATTAGGCCGTAGGCCTGTCGCCGATTCTTAACATCGCAGAACATTCACAGCATTTTGAGGTCTCGAACTCGCAACTCACTGCTCCAATTCTGCTATGCTTAACCGCCCGGCCTCCTTGCCGATTCTGACCAGAAACTGGCGCACAGAGCTGGGGATCGAACCCGCGCCTCTCTGCGCCAATCTTGGTACTATGACTTTTAACCACTGGGCCATGGAGAAATATATGTTCAGACTTGAAATGCCTAGCCCCATATCGAATCCGGTGGAAGTCTAGTAGCTACTTGAAACTATCGTCAGTCTTGAAAAGATCCGATCAAATGACACGGTTTTAGATCTTCTGTGAACAAGGCACGAAAAGGAAAAGAATCGGCGACAGGCCACATCAGGCCTACACTTCAGCGCCGACATCACTATAGGTGCCTGTACACAGGGATAGTACTAGCCGCTAGTTCATGCGGCGCTTGAACTGTCCACGCTACTAGCCTCGTGTATAGGGGTTCAGCCGCTTCAGAGGCATGCGCCGGCAAGTGCCCGAGATGCGGCCGAGCGGGACAACGATGTGTTGATATCTTGGCTGGAGAAGTGGCTAGTAGCGCTGATGCAGCCATGGTGAGAGCATCTGTGCCGCTCTTGCGAAGAATCGTGGGTCAAGTGAATCATGGCTTGTTTGAACGATAATGTTTCTAAGAAGAAACAAACTAAGTGGATTCCAGACGATATTCAATTATTTTTTGAAATATTCCAAGATATGAATTAAAGTATAATGTTTTCCATGATGGTTACTCCAACAAAAAGAAGGGAGAAACGAGTATTTTGAAACGGAAATTAGACCTTATTAGTCAGGGTTTAGTTGTTCCCGACGCTGCATTTTCAAGGGCTAGAATAAATAGTATAATAACGACGTACAGAATCGAGTTGTTGAAGGTGATCCATTAACCATCTTCGCAGACCTCACTCGACGGCTTCTAATGACGCACTGGCGGGCGCGAAAGAGAAGATAGCGTCACCTTCTACTCTCCACGTGTGTACAGGCTTACTTGCCGGATAGTCACCAAGCGACTGACACTAGCCAGATTTACTAGCCGTCTGCACTATCCCCGTGTACAAGCACCTTATGCTATGCAATAGACAAGCAGTTAAAGACTGACCCACGATAGCCCCATGCATAGGCCGTTATATTATATGTTTATCGGGCGGTCTGCAATTTTCATTTTAAGCCATCGCATCGCAGGCGTAATTGTATTGCTGTCTTCAGAGTTTTCCGTCGTAAAAATCGCGTATTTATTTTGATGAAAAAGGATTTGTGAGGAGTAGATTAGAGAAATTCCCGGCATTATGACAAGGACTAACTTCAAAATGCTTGCTTTCATTTTGACGCATATATATCACGTTATCTTTTATTAAATAACATTATTAATTTCTAGAATTCAGTTGTATATTAATAGTAGAGAAGTAATCTCATATGGAAAATTTATCAGCCGATAAAATCTTCACAAGTTTTATGGCTTTTCAAATCTTGGAAAGTTTTACCAAGTTGAGAATAAAACTGCGCAGACAGAAATTTTTACGGCACACACATTTTGCATTGATCATTAAAAATTTTTATTGATCATGAATAAAGTCTATATTCGTGAGAATAAATGAATAATAAATTAAATACAATGAATTTACTAGATTTGTGATAGAAAACTCGCAAGCATAGAGCGGGCACTCGTAGTGCCAGGACGCACAGTGACCTTGAAAGGACACGCCGGTAACGTCCATCGTTTCAATCCATGCATTCTGGTCTCAAGGTGAATACGTTGTTTCTCTGTTACGTTGAAGTTTTCCATCGCCAGTAACGTAATCAAGCAATTTATTGTATATATTGGATTTGAGGTCATGATATAATTTTTCAATTTAATCTATGTTAGCTCCGTTTTTCTCGTAACATTTGTTATTCAACGTTTACGTTTGAATTCGGATAAGTTGTCAGCTGTCGCCAACCGTCGTCTGCCTGGTCAAGCGCCAAGCGGTGCCAATGTTGGTCTAGTACTAAGTGCAAATTCGTAGGATGCGCCCGTGTGTATGAGGAATATTTCTAGTTTCTTATTACACTGTGGATGTCAAACATTTTGTATCCTCTTATTATTACAAATGGAATTTAACAAGACTTGATCCTGTGTTATACTACATAAAACGAATGATTATAATGTAATTACAAAACAGTATAACTAACATCTCTGTTATGACTGTGAAGTGAACTGTGAAGTCAGACGCCAAGGTCACTAGTAGTAGTAGTAGTAGTACAAAGCAATTATAGTAGAAATTTCTTGATATGTAAATTTTTTACAAATCATTTTCAAATATTTCAAAAATAAATGCATAGTTTTTTTCCATTTGTACAAAAAAATGTGAATTTGTGAAAAATGTAGTCAATGCAGGAAATTATTCAAGACGGACATGGGCATTATTTTCTCAAATTCTCATTGAAGTGTGGCCCAAGCTGGAATATTGGACAGAAGTTACAAATGAATGAGAAAAAATAAATTATAATAATAAACAACCTAGCTTGTGAAACATATCAGTTTCTACGGCTCTAGCCCAATTTATTTGTTTAGAATAAGAATATAGCTAGGCCTAAGATTAGGCAAAACTAAACTTTCAGAGAAGAATACAAATAGGTAAAAATTAGAGGAATATTTTATTTATGCCTGCAGTTTTAGTATAAAAAATATAATACAATTTTGTATGCCTAGACTTTTTGGATCATTTTGCCCTAATTCCAGCTTAGTCTCAAACAAAGGATGTCATGGACTCAGTTCATTCCTAATTGCCTGATAGGCTATATTTTAAAATTTTCTCCCATTATCCCATAGCTATATCATGAGATGATGAGACTAAAGTGTAAATATATTGGATCAAGTTACAGGCTGGCTTGATATTGAATATACTTGATAATAATATTGAACACATAATTTAAAGAATGGAACCTTAATGGGTAGTATTTTATATTGGATTTGGTAGCATAAAACATGATCATTTGTGCAATTTAAGCGATACTGATATATATATGTAGATTGAGTAGTAAATGATTAATATATAAACAGTAATCAGTAATTGATATATAAATCATATGTATAATTCATCCCATACTGTTCATTCTGGTCTGGCCTCTTGTTTCTATTGCATATTAGGCAGCAGGATGGAATTTAGGAGAGGAAATATATTAATAAGTGCTAATAAGATATTGGAGGTAAAAATCTTAAATCATGTTATTTTCTATATTTGGCTTGTATTTTTGAACTGATTAACCCTTTAGCGGGCAAGCATTGAAATATCCAGAAATTAAAATATCAGTAACCATTTCAAGAAAGTAAGAAGTATTATACAATATATTTATTTCTATGAATTTTTGCAAATTTTGCCTATTGAAGGTTTAAAGCACACTTGAAGAATTCAATAAATGCAATCAGTACAGAAAATTTTTCTTCATAATTAAAATTCAGTTTATGCAAAGGAAAAATTAGAAACATAAAAATTTAATTTAATTAAATTTAATCAAGTTGCCAAAATAAATAAATATATATATTGATACTTCCACCTTTTGAAGAAAATGCGGAAAGAGCGTCAATTCCATTGTCCGAGTCAAAACCTTCATTTAAATGCTCATATTTCAATTTGTGGACTTATGGTGATGCTATAGATAGAACGATGGTCAGGTAATTAGTGATTGACTGAGGCAGTATAAGGATGCCTCAAAAACAAACAGGAAGCCGTGGTGAGGCTTTTTGTGACGCGATTTCAAGTGATCATATATGGTAACTTACCCGTGAAAGGGTTAAGTAACTGGGCTGGATTTGTTCTGAATATATGAACAAGTACCCATTGAATTCCACCCTAACCTTGGAGATTAGGCCACATCTGGCCTGTTGCTGACCAAGATCCAAATTTCCCTACTTTATACTATATCTTGTGGCTCAATTATGTACTTCTATTTATAATTAAAGAGATAGGATGTGTAATTGTTTCAGCAATATTTTTTGGCTCTAGAACTGACAGGGAAGTGCCAGCTGCTGCCCGTCTATTGAAATATTCTACAGATGGGCAGCACATAAAATACCTTGCAATTTTCAGTGTCAGCAAGAGCTTAGACTAGAAATTCTGGAAGTTTTCAGTTAATTTGCAGTAGAAGAAAAATATTTCATAGGCTACCTATTTAAAAAATAGCAGGTGTAAGTGTATGGTACCCATTGTACTTAATTTCCATGAGAGGAGTTTAACCATCATGTACATCTAATACTATTTAGGATCTGCTGCTGCTCTACCTTAGACCTATCAGTTCTTCTTTTGAATTCTCTATTTTAAGATTTTTATTATGTTATTAATATGCTATACCGGTATTTACTATGTTGTCCTTGACCTTCTTGCAAGGAAATTTAATTTGTTTGAATGGTTTTGTTTGATATTGAACCCTTTGTTTGAATTGATAATCTGGTAAAAAGTAATTAATTAATCCATTAATTTTTGAATATGTTAAAAGAATTTGATGAGCTTGAAAAACAGAAAAAGTGTGTAATGCTTGTCTGCCCTTTGAACATAACTTTTTAACATGCATAACATTTCTAGAATTAGCTTATTTAATAAAACTTCTTCATTAATAACTTCTATACCATATTTAATTTTTAAATACCATTTATGGTTCCAGGTCATTGATACTCCCATCTAGGGATGGTAAATTTGTTAATAGAATTATTAATACCAGTTTGAAATTTATACTAGTTTTGAATTACCTATTACCAGTTATAAACAATATACCAGTTTAAAGTATAAAATGTCGGTGCCGGTTGTGACGGTGGCCACGAAGCCGTTTGAGGGCCAGAAGCCCGGCACCAGCGGCCTCAGGAAAGCCGTCAAAGTCTTCCAGCAGGTGGGCTTTTTTTATTTCAATTTATACAATTAATTATTGAAGTTAAATAGGTATTTAAAAATTATTGATCAAACTTATGCCTGGGATGTTACATAGATGCTCTAGCAGTTAATTTAGTAGTCATTTGTTTGAAATAGGTTTTATGTCTACACTCGAACAATTATTGTAGAATTATTAATTAATTAATTGATAGTTGTGTATATTTTCAGACAATTATTAAATATTTGTTATTTTAAAAAATTTATTATGAGAATTATGTTAAATGTCAGACAATTAATTTTTATTATAAAAATTGGTTTGGGGTGTCATATCTGAAGTTGACAAAGTATTTTATGTTTTTTATTAAAAATTTTATTATTAATGAGCTTATAAATATGGAGATAAAAAGCACTTCATGTATTATTTGTGTACACAGGAGCACTACACGGAGAACTTCATACACTGTGTGCTGGAGGCGGGCAAGACGGTGGGGCAGACGCTGGTGGTGGGCGGTGACGGCCGCTACTACGGGGAGGAGGTGGTGGCCACCATCATCAGGATGGCGGCCGCTCATGGGGTGGGTTGATGTAGTCTGGTGGCCACCATCATCAGGATGGCGGCCGCTCATGGGGTGGGTTGATGTAGTGTGGTGGCCACCATCATCAGGATGGCAGCTGCTCATGGGGTGGGTTGATGTAGTGTGGTGGCCACCATCATACCATCATCAGGATGGCGGCCGCTCATGGGGTGAGTTGATGTAGTGTGGTGGCCACCATCATCAGGATGGCGGCCGCTCATGGGGTGAGTTGATGTAGTGTGGTGGCCACCATCATCAGGATGGCGGCTGCTCATGGGGTGGGTTGATGTAGTGTGGTGGCCACCATCATCAGGATGATGGCCGCTCATGGGTTGGGTTGATGTAGTGTATATTGGGTTATATTATTATATTGTATTAACAATAATATATATTATTGGTAATAAGCCTCATCTATTCAAACCTAGCACTTCTACCCTCTATTTAACCCTGATGTGCTAAGTAGTACTAATGATCCAGATTAATGTGATCATTAGTAAGTTAGACACACTGATGTTAATAATATTGATAATAATCAATAAATATTAATAATATTACCATGGATAATATTGATGTTAATGATGATGATGTTTACTAAAGCCTAGCACATCTAGTCTTTACTTAGCCCTAATCTACTTACTAGTACTAATGATCCTATTTAATGGGATCATTCCTAAGCTAGACACAATGATGTGAATGATGATGTGATAAGTGATGATAATGTTAATAATGATGTGATGTTGTTGTTAATGATGCAGGTGGCTAAGCTGGTAGTGGCCAAGGCCGGCATCATGTCCACGCCAGCCGTGTCGGCCATCATCAGGGAGCGAGGTCACCATCATGATTATTAATTAATTAATATCAATTATTACTCAAATATTACATTAATAATTGATACTGTCAGGATGATATTCAATAGCAATAATAATATCAATTTAATGATTAATAATATTATTAACTAATAATGTTAATATGTTAGGATATACACAGGGCGAGTATTTAAATAATGTAGTTGGTAATAGGTATTAAGTTGATTATCTAATTATTTGTCAATATTGTATTAAATGTAATGCTGAATTAATATTCATACAATATTCATACAGGCCTGTGTGGTGGTATCGTGCTCACGGCCTCACACAACCCCGGGGGCCCCGACGCAGACTTCGGCATCAAGTACAACTGCAGCAACGGAGGTGTGTACATTGTGTACATTGTGTAGTACAACTGCAGCAACGGAGGTGTGTACATTGTGTACATTGTGTAGTACAACTGCAGCAACGGAGGTGTGTACATTGTGTACATTGTGTAGTACAACTGCAGCAACGGAGGTGTGTACATTGTGTACATTGTGTAGTACAACTGCAGCAANTCTGTGTGACTCACTTCTGTGTGACTCACTTCTGTGTGACTCACTTCTGTGTGACTCACTTCTGTGTGACTCACTTCTGTGTGACTCACTTCTGTGTGACTCACTTCTGTGTGACTCACTTCTGTGTGACTCACTTCTGTGTGACTCACTTCTGTGTGACTCACTTCTGTGTGACTCACTTCTGTGTGACTCACTTCTGTGTGACTCACTTCTGTGTGACTCACTTCTGTGTGACTCACTTCTGTGTGACTCACTTCTGTGTGACTCACTTCTGTGTGACTCACTTCTGTGTGACTCACTTCTGTGTGACTCACTTCTGTGTGACTCACTTCTGTGTGACTCACTTCTGTGTGACTCACTTCTGTGTGACTCACTTCTGTGTGACTCACTTCTGTGTGACTCACTTCTGTGTGACTCACTTCTGTGTGACTCACTTCTGTGTGACTCACTTCTGTGTGACTCACTTCTGTGTGACTCACTTCTGTGTGACTCACTTCTGTGTGACTCACTTCTGTGTGACTCACTTCTGTGTGACTCACTTCTGTGTGACTCACTTCTGTGTGACTCACTTCTGTGTGACTCACTTCTGTGTGACTCACTTCTGTGTGACTCACTTCTGTGTGACTCACTTCTGTGTGACTCACTTCTGTGTGACTCACTTCTGTGTGACTCACTTCTGTGTGACTCACTTCTGTGTGACTCACTTCTGTGTGACTCACTTCTGTGTGACTCACTTCTGTGTGACTCACTTCTGTGTGACTCACTTCTGTGTGACTCACTTCTGTGTGACTCACTTCTGTGTGACTCACTTCTGTGTGACTCACTTCTGTGTGACTCACTTCTGTGTGACTCACTTCTGTGTGACTCACTTCTGTGTGACTCACTTTTGTGTGACTCACTTCTGTGTGACTCACGTCTGTATGACTCACTTCTGTATGACTCACTTTTGTATGACTCACTTCTGTATGACTCACGTCTGTATGACTCACGTCTGTATGACTCACGTCTGTATGACTCACGTCTGTATGACTCACGTCTGTATGACTCACTTCTGTGTGACTCACTTCTGTGTGACTCACTTCTGTGTGACTCACTTCTGTGTGACTCACTTCTGTGTGACTCACTTCTGTATGACTCATTTCTGTGTGACTCACGTCTGTATGACTCACGTCTGTATGACTCACGTCTGTGTGACTCACGTCTGTATGACTCATTTCTGTATGACTCGCTTTTGTATGACCCACTTCTGTATGACTCACTTTTGTATGACTCACTTCTGTATGACCCACCTCTATGACTCACTTATGTATGACCTACTTATGTATGACCCACTTCTGTATGACTCACGTCTGTATGACTCACGTCTGTTTGACTCACTTCTGTATGACCCACCTCTGTATGACTCACGTCTGTATACCACACAGGGCCGGCGCCGGACCACGTCACCAACGCTATGTATGGTCTCACCACACAGATCTCGCAATACAAGATCTGCCCCAGCCTCGTGTGTGATATACACATCATACAGACGTCTGTGTTCCAGGTGACGTGTGGTCCATACAGCCTGTAATGGGTGTACTGGGCAGGTGGACGGCACTAATGGGTGTAATGGGTGAGTGGACGGCACTAATGGGCGGGTGGACGGCACTAATGGGCGGGTGGACGGCACTAATGCTGTCTCTTATACACATCTAGATGTGTATAAGAGACAGCTACTGGGCAGGTGGACGGCACTAATGGATGTACTGGGCAGGTGGACGGCACTAATGGATGTACTGGGCAGGTGGACGGCACTAATGGGCAGGTGGACGGCACTAATGGGTGTACTGGGCAGGTGGACGGCACTAATGGGCAGGTGGACGGCACTAATGGGCAGGTGGACGGCACTAATGGGTGTACTGGGCAGGTGGACGGCGTGGGGGACTTCACCGTCGAGGTGGTGGACGGCGTGGACGGCTACGTGCGCCTCATGAAGTCCATCTTCGACTTCCCCGCCATCGCGGCCTTCATCAAGTCCTTCCCCGTCCTCATGGACTCCTTGAACGGGGGTGAGGGGGGACTTGAAAAAATGTTTTGGGGTGAGGGTGGCGTCCAAAAAAAATATTTTGGGGGGTGAGGGGCGGCGTCCAAAAAAATTTTTGGGGTGAAAAAAAGTTTTTTGGGGGTGAGGGGGCGCGTCCAAAATAATTTTTGGGGTAGAGGGCGGCGTCCAAAAATATTATCCTTTCTACGATAAAATTTTACCAGGATCGAAGCAGTGAGTTGCGTGTTCGAGACCCGCAACTAAATGTAAATGTTCGGCGATGTTGAGACTCGGGGACAGGCCTACGATCTAATTACCACTGAGGGCGATGTTCTGTACTATACTGTACTATATACTGCGTTGTATTGTATTGTACTATGCCGTATTTAAACTATTATACTATACTGTAATGTATTGTGCTTTACCGTACTATAATATATTGTATTATATTGCACTAAATTGTACTATACTGTACTCTAATTTGAACTTTATGCATAAATCATACGGAGGATATAATATTTATCCCTGTTATGTCCCTCACCCACGACTGCTCCCCCAGTGACGGGTCCCTACGTGGAGCGCATCTTCCTGGGGGAGTTGGGTGCTCCCCCGTCCAGCGTGCGCAACACGAAGCCTCTCCCAGACTTCGGGGGACTTCACCCAGACCCCAACCTCACCTACGCCGCGGACTTGGTGGCCACCATGCGGGGGACTGACCTGTACAAGATGGGGGCGGCGTTTGATGGGGACGGGGTGAGTGGGAGGTCTTTGATGGGGACGGGGTGAGTGGGGGACTTTGATGGGGACGGGGTGAGTGGGGGACTGACATGTACAAGATGGGGGCGGCCTTTGATGGGGACGGGGTGAGTGGGGGACTGACCTGTACAAGATGGGGGCGGCCTTTGATGGGGACGGGGTGAGTGGGGGACTGACCTGTACAAGATCTGTCTCTTATACACATCTAGATGTGTATAAGAGACAGGGCCATATGTGGGGAGGAAAGCTTTGGGTGAGACTGGCCATATGTGGGGAGGAGAGCTTTGGGTGAGACTGGCCATATGTGGGGAGGAGAGCTTTGGGTGAGGCCTGTCTCTTATACACATCTAGATGTGTATAAGAGACAGGTGGGGGACTGACCTGTACAAGATGGGGGCGGCCTTTGATGGGGACGGGGTGAGTGGGGGACTGACCTGTACAAGATGGGGGCGGCCTTTGATGATCAGAATCTCCTGTCAGAGTTCATAGTCGCGTGAGAGTATGACAGGCTGCCCAGAGGCTGCATTTCAGGCCCGGCCGAGGCGGACATTAGCGGCTGATTGACACGCTCCCCGAGTCCTGGGCGGCACCTGATCCATAGTAGGTCGGCACCTAAATTTCTGTAGGGCTACACCCCAGGTACTATAGCGACGTTACTAATGGTGATGTAATTGATGATACGATGGTAATTTAATAGTACTAGCGATGCGTTAATGGTACCACTGGTTCATATGATGGTAGTAATGGTATCACCGCCAGCACCTTAATTTTATTTGGGTACGGGGGTGGTGGTACGTCAATTTAATGGTACTATAGCGATGCTTTAATGGTATCACTGGTCCACCTAATAGTAGTAATGGTATGACCAGGACCGCAACATGATCCTGGGCGAGCGCGGTTTCTTCGTGACGCCCTGCGACTCCGTGGCCGTCATCGCCAACAACGCCTCCTGCATCCCCTACTTCAGGGGGGGCGTGGGGGGCCTGGCCCGCTCCATGCCCACCAGCTGCGCCCTCGACAGGTGGGGATTAGGGGGGGCCTGGCCCGCTCCATGCCCACCAGCTGTGCCCTCGACAGGTGGGGATTAAGTGGGGCCTGGCCCGCTCCATGCCCATCAGCTGTGTCCTCGACAGGTGGGGAGTGTGGGGGAATTATGTGGGTTACATTAAGAGAAATAGGTGGGTATGGATGACCCACTTACACGAACGTCACAAATAAATCATACCTTAAATTTAAAGGGCAAGTAATATGTCAGTATGACCCACAAATGGGGCAATAAAGTGCATCGGTATTTGGACGCCAATGACTCGTCTAAGTGGGTCATCCAGACCCTCATTTTTCTCTCAGTGTAAAGTTAGGAGTGCCGTGCATCATTGAAGCAGTGAGTTGCAGGTTCAAAACTCAAGCAACCTGTAAAAACTTTGTGGTCTCTTGAATCTGCGACTGGCCTACTCAGATTTAAAACCTATTATCATTATTTTTATCATCACTAAAAATAAGACAGATGATCAGTAATAGTTAGACACCAGGATTAGGATTATATTATTAAAGGGATATATTGTATATGATATCGTATTGTATATTATCTTCATGATTATATTGTGTGCCGTGATAATAATTATTTTATCCATTACTTATACAAATATTGGATTTATGATATTAATATTATTAATACTAACATTATTGGTGGCATCCGGAGCACGCATGTGAGTTGTTTGCTTCCATTGCCACGATTCTTGCAATCTGAGAAAAAATGAATTGCTATAGGTATGTTTTAAGCACTCGTATGATTTCATTGACATTCTATTATTTGTATTTTTGTACGTGAAACTACATTCTATTTTTTTAAGTCTGTCTAAAATGATTATTTTTAAGAAATGTTGAAATTGGATTCAACGTAACCATGGTTTGTCCGCTAGGATTAATTTAATAGAGTTTGTCCTCTAGGGTAACGCAGGTGCTGAAGGTGCAATATTAAACAAAAATATTAAAAATATATTATACTAAAGATAAATTAGGTATGTTATATTGAAGTTATATTAAGTTAACTTATTAAATTAACCCTCTTTTATCCTCTAGGGTGGCGGCGGCCCTGAAGGTGGAGATGTTCGAGGTGCCCACAGGCTGGAAGTACTTTGGCAACCTCATGGACGCGGGGAGACTGGCCATATGTGGGGAGGAGAGCTTTGGGTGAGACTGGCCATATGTGGGGAGGAAAGCTTTGGGTGAGACTGGCCATATGTGGGGAGGAAAGCTTTGGGTGAGACTGGCCATATGTGGGGAGGAAAGCTTTGGGTGAGACTGGCCATATGTGGGGAGGAAAGCTTTGGGTGAGACTGGCCATATGTGGGGAGGAAAGCTTTGGGTGAGACTGGCCATATGTGGGGAGGAAAGCTTTGGGTGAGACTGGCCATATGTGGGGAGGAAAGCTTTGGGTGAGACTGGCCATATGTGGGGAGGAAAGCTTTGGGTGAGACTGGCCATATGTGGGGAGGAAAGCTTTGGGTGAGACTGGCCATATGTGGGGAGGAAAGCTTTGGGTGAGACTGGCCATATGTGGGGAGGAAAGCTTTGGGTGAGACTGGCCATATGTGGGGAGGAAAGCTTTGGGTGAGACTGGCCATATGTGGGGAGGAAAGCTTTGGGTGAGACTGGCCATATGTGGGGAGGAAAGCTTTGGGTGAGACTGGCCATATGTGGGGAGGAAAGCTTTGGGTGAGACTGGCCATATGTGGGGAGGAAAGCTTTGGGTGAGACTGGCCATATGTGGGGAGGAAAGCTTTGGGTGAGACTGGCCATATGTGGGGAGGAAAGCTTTGGGTGAGACTGGCCATATGTGGGGAGGAAAGCTTTGGGTGAGACTGGCCATATGTGGGGAGGAAAGCTTTGGGTGAGACTGGCCATATGTGGGGAGGAAAGCTTTGGGTGAGACTGGCCATANCAGTCTACCCTCAGGTACAGTCTACCCTCAGGTACAGTCTACCCTCAGGAAGAGTCTACCCTCAGGTACAGTCTACCCTCAGGTACAGTCTACCCTCAGGTACAGTGTACCCCCATCATCTACCCTCGTCTACCCTCACCTACCCTCATCATCTACCCCCATCATCTACTCCCATCATCTACCCTCATCATCTACCCCATCCTCTACCCCATCATCTACCCTCATCTACCCCTATATCTACCATCACCTACTCTCATCATCTACCATCATCTACCCTCAGGTATGACTACGAGAACTGCGCGGCTGAGCCCTGCGGTGCCATGGTTGCCAGGCTGCGGGGTTTGGTTGACGGCGTTGACGGGGGGTTGACGGGCAAGTCCTTCGTTGACGGGGAGAAGTCCTACACTGTTGACAGGGCGGACGACTTCAGCTACACTGACCCTATTGACGGCAGTGTTGCCACACAGCAGGTTTGTTGCCATCATACCCCCCGTCCCCTCTCACCCGTGCCTCACCCGTCCCCCCTTACCCGTCCCCCTTCACCCTCAGTATCCTTAGTATTTGTTTGGGACATAGCAGTCCCAGGCCACGATGGATCGCCGCCTCTGATTATCGTTCATCCGCCCTCATTTGGGCCACCTGATGTGTATAAGAGACAGAGAGAAACCAGCTCCGTTAC